ATGATGATGATGATGATGATGATGATGATGATGATGATGATGATGATGATGATGATGATGGGGTGATATCGTGCGAGAACTTGAGGGGAGGCAACCTCAGGTGCTGGCTGACTATGGGAGCTGGTGTGGGCTTGAACGATCTAGTTTAATTAGGTGGAAAACATGAATGAACTTGTCAACAATTAGCCTTCGAATTGTTCACATCGAACTCACCGATTGGATACCCCCTTCCTTAGGACATGTTGTACGAATTTTGACCATAAAATATCCATAAATCCAAGTAAACAATCCCAGAGCTCGGGGGGGACCTTGGATTCATTTCCTAAGGGATGAAGGAATCGGACGACGAAACGAAACCGTCCGGTAAACGCCAGCCGGGTGCCCGGACGTCTCGCCACACCAGAGGAAAACAAAGGACTGGTGATCAGCCACCTCACCCACCTGGCGCATGGACTTTGAGGACTTTCGGGAATTGGCGCATTCTAAGAGTACAAGAAGGAACAGAATGACACAGTCTGAAACATTCTGAAACCAAAAAAGCCTGACACAACCTTCAATCACGAAACAAGACGAAACAAGTTAGCCTAGCCTTCGCTCATTGATCTTCAGGACATTCCGTGGATTTTGAGGTTTTCTTGGGGAAACATCCTCTCATGCTCAAACAGGAAGACGCCGTCTCCCCGGTGAAATGCTAGGACAAACGCACCTTCAACGCCTTGAGCTCGTCCAGCGTCCATGTGGAGAGGTCCTGGAGGCTGGAGCGAGCGCGTGGAGAGCGGGCAGAGCGCCAATGACGTCGACTCAGTGAAAACCACCTGTCGCTCAGGAAATGTTGGTCTTCTGGGGGGCCCAGGAGAACGTCCACCTCCGTAATAATGAGTGTAAAGCTCAAATGGAGAGGCTCCAACCTTAGCACCCCAAGCCAGCAAAAACCTCCGGGGGTGAGCCGAACTCATCACGGAGAGGAACGGACCAACCTTCCCTAGGGCTCCTGGCCCACCTCCTGAGAAGATGGTTGGGGTGGGTTTGGGAGGTCTAACCACCTTCTGGGGATATGGGCCAGGAGCCCTAGGGCTTGTTCACCAAGATTTCACGACGTGGCCCACGGATTCATCCTCGGACTGGACAATAAGGTCCTCATCAGGCACGTACATGCCAGCCACCCGCGTCTGGTACCTGCAAGGTCAAGCTCGGACGAACATGTAAAGGGGGTGTGATTTGCTGCGACCTGGGCCTGTTTAGATCGCAACCTTGGATCAACATCCTTCAACCTTGGATGTTAACATCTCGTGAGTGATCGCCCGCAAGAAGGGTGGTTCCAACCGTTTGGGCTTCGTTGAACATGCTCGCATCCGTGTCCAGCCAACGGGCCACGTCACCTCGGTCCGCTCCGCTTCCTCCGTCCGGTCCCATCGGTGGGAAGCGGACTCTTCCCAAGGCGGGTCCAGAAGCACCACATCGAACTTGGTGCCCAGGCCTAGGAGGTCAGCACTAGCACTCAGGTGGAGGAACTCGTCCATCTGTATGAAACACCTTCTAATATGGTCCGTTTGACTTCAGGAGTGCATGTATGTTTGGAGAGGAAAAGCATGAGGTAATCTGCTACTTTGCCGGACATGATGAACTGCTTGGAGTTCATATGGTTCATACCATTTGTGCTTCTTGGAATCTCTATTCTTCTTTTTGCATCAGCATTTTCTAATGAGTAGATGCTGCTGCTTTCCTCCGCCGCTCTGTGGCCCTCACTCGCCAAGTCGAAGGTCCTCGGTAGAAGGACCGGAAGGACGAAAGCAGAGGGTGGACCACCAAGGGGGTTGGTGGGGGGTTGGTAGGTTGATAGATGTGAGATAGATTCGATATGACAGGATCGTTTTGCTCTCAGGAAAGGGTGCAGGTTGTTTCTTCTATTATATAGTCCAGTACTAGTCAGCTGGTGGCCCAGCAGTATGCCCATGGAATAGGTGCTAAAATGAACACGAACCCAGTGGCATGAGGCGGTGAAACTGGGGATGAGACGGCCATCTGACTCCATCCTAAGAGACGGCATCTCACGGTCCCACACCACTTTGGAGGAGGATTCAGTGTAAACCTCCAAGGCTTTGCTAGCTGTGCGCTGCTTGGATGTGCATGTCTTTATTATCTACTCTATGCATCTCTATGCTCCTTTTGGGGTGGTCGAATGGTGGACCTCCACTGAACACTGTTCAGTTCAGCAAGAGGATGCTTCAAGTGTTTTGCGTCTGAACTTCGAAGGTCCCCAAAGGTGGCCAAATAAACTTGGATTCGAGGATGAGGACCGGCATAGAACCTGGAGATCTTGCTCCCTTGGAACCCTGGCAAGTCTCGACCTACTGGACTGCCTGTGAGGCATCCTGCTTTAGGCAAGGGGAAGCCCAAGCCCAAGTGCAGTGCTAGTCTCCTCCGGGCGCTTGGCAGCAGGATATAAGAGCTATAATGACCATGTTTTACTTGTGGTTTCCCCATGTCAGGCAGTATACTGTAAACATCGTGTGCATCAACCGTCAAGGCCATCTCCTTCCAAACTCCTGATCTTCCCATTCTGTTCCCATGACATACTCAACGTTGAGCCAGGATCTCCCAATAGGATCAAGTCAACTTCACTCCATTTTTGTCCGAAAATCCTTTCGCCCAACAGGATTGAACAAGAACAAGATTCACTCACCAAGACGGACCTACTAGCGATGGCTTCCAATAGCGATGGCCTCCAACCTATAATGATTAGCAATGGCCTCCACCCTAATAGCACTCACCAAGGAACTTCAAGTCGCACTTCAGGAACATCCCCGGAGAGGCTCGCTTCGCCAAGATGTTGTCCTGAGGTGGCCACCGGCTCGACCAACATCGCTTCTCTGACTTAAACAGTGCCGTATCCCACCAGGCCATGGGTCTTCTTTCAGCCAACCCAAGCCGATTGATCTACTATCTAAACTTCTGTAGTTGACCTAAACTTTGGTCGAAGACCAACTGATTCTATTCCCTCTTCCGCCAACGTACGACCCATTCAACCCACTCAACATGGGACAGCACGACAAAAATAGTGTAAACAAGTCAAGCGGCCCCCTGGTTCCATCTTGTTCAATCAGATTCCGCCTTCCGGTCAAACACTGTGCCCCGCAAAAAACTGGGTCAAACCCCCGCGTCAACTAAGACGCGTCAACCCCCCCCCGCGCAAAAGAAAGCCCGCTTCCGAGTGCTGTCCTTAAGCTTGATCAAGCGCTGGATCTTGGGATATTCCGAATATCCTGGGCCGGAAAACGAGCGAAACTCTTTCGTCTCACAGCCCCGCGCGGAGCGACCGAGACACGGAAGAAGCGTTGGGCACTTCGGATCCGCCCGTTCGGTCGTGGCCCAGACATGGTTTTATGTTTTAATGGCCAGGTCATCCCGAAGCACCAGTGTTTGATATAAGGGTGTTACACTACAAAACCAGATCGACCAACAAACAATGGCCTGGAGACTTCGGCAAACAAAGCATGAAAGGCCGGCCATGAGCCCCTGTCTTCAGCCTCGTGAAGACCACGTGTGAGGATTGTGAGGCCTTCCCATTTAAGGAGAACTACTGTAAAACAAATTCATATGAACGAATGATGAACCAATGAACTCAAGCAGCAACCCGCCGAACAAGATCAGAAGATCAGAAGATCTCGACTTGGAGACTCGCCGACATGCCGGCAACGCGCCTCGTGCCTCACCGCAGGTGAGCCAACGTCCAAACACGTTAGGCACAACGGAGCATTGCTGCGATGGGTTCGACACGAACAACGCGTCCAACGATGTCTTATTGGGAGTCCAAAAGGGGGGTTCGTTTGGTACACCGATTGGCTTCGACACTTGGGGGGTCTCCTCTATCAACCAAGGCGGCTGCGCCCAACTCAGCTTGAACTGGTCGAAGACATCACTGGCAGTGTGTGTGTGTGTGTCTTTTCTTTTCAAAGAGCCTCTCTTGCAGTGTGTTTTCGGCTGCGTTTTTGGAAGTCCGAAATCGGATATGAAATTGAAAAGCTGTATCAAGCTGTAATAATTTTGGCATCTCTCAATTGTTTCATGAATGTGGATTTTTCTTAGAAGAACACATCCTGGCAAAGCCAAGCATCGATTTTGATAATCCAAATCCCGGATGAAGTTCTGCCTTAGCCGAGGGAAATGAACCGCTGGAGCAGCCTTTGACCAAGTCTGGCCGAAGAGCCAGACAAATACAGTACGCTCACTGCGCAGTCCGCTGCGCAGTTCGGACCATCGTTCCACCCGCGCGTCTTCTCGCGCGGCGGCGCACAGACGCGCTCTCTGGGTCGCCCCCGCGGGCGAAGTCCCGTGTCGATGAAGGTTTGACCTCCGAGGTCAAACAAATCAACCGCGTCCGAGTCGGGGGCTGGGAGGATCCACGGCGGCTGGGAGGGGTTACGACCGGTGGGAGGCGGGGCAGGCGGGGCGACACTCCACTGCAGTTTGGAGTGTCATGGAAGTGGATGGGATGCCATGGAACGAAGACATGATGACCATGACATCTGAAGACCAATGGTTTTCACTTCACGACCATGATGAGTTCAGTGTACTGATCAAGGAGGGCCCCAAACCCTTGCGAAGCAGGAGGATATGGAGACCATTCCGTGCGAGACCACAAGCCTCTTGGCGTTGGAAAACCAGGTTGACCTGGTGAAGTATCGATCTGGTTGACCTGGTGAAACATCGATGTAAATGGGTTGAATGCGGATGATCGTTTCTAAGATCTGATGCCATCATCCGCCCCGTTGGTTCTTCTCGTTGGCAATTCGCCCAAATAAAAAAAAACACCTTGTGACATCAAGTGGACCTTGTGACTAACAGAGCTGGTGTTCGTCACATCTAACAGAGCTGCATGTTCCTTTTTCTTCCGCGCTCCGAATGGACGAGGAACGGCACTCAGTTCGAACGTTCCGCGCGCCGCTGAGAGACTGAGGCCAGCTGCAATAGTCGTTCCGTGTCAGGAACTTGGAACTCACCTGGCGCAAGGAAAACACCCCCAAACGCACCCCTCCTATCGGGAGCGTGGCAGTGGATTCAGTGGATCCATAGGGAAATGGAAGTTGCTCTGATCATGGAACAAGTTTGCGGGGTTGTTTTGTTTTTGTTGATTGTTTGATTGTCAGATTCTGGTCTTCGTATGTAGTTTGTCCCATGTTCACCATGAACAACGATAGCTGGGGCCGTCATCCATTCTACCAGGCTGTTAGAAAATGTATGAACATGTTATAAGGCTTCTTGTAGCTCCTAGTAGATCCACTTATACCGTTCAGCCTTCAGTCACTCCCTGTCTATATACCAAACAACAAACGGCGGTCCGAAGAAAGCAAACCACATCAGTGGAGTTCTTGGTGGTAACGCTGGAAAATGAGGATGCTTAAGATCCTTTGAACATCTTCGAAGCAGCGCATTCGAACCAACGCACTGTAAAAAGACCCACCGACGATTCGCTATAAATTCCACACATCGGATTTGGGCACTACGTGTACTGTATGAGGATTCATCCACCTTCCTCCAGCTTCCTCCATCTCAAAAGCTTAGGGTTTCCATACACCATACACTACCCTGAGACTCCTGGCCCATATCCCCAGCTTCGGTGCTTGGGGTGGGTGCGATTGGGGTCTATCTAACCACCGGTCACCTGAGGAGATGGGACGTTCGTGGCCGCGAACGGGCCACATCGGCGGCCCACGCCTTCACATCCACCCCATCGTCTACGGGTCCATAGGGCCTCGGGTCCGGTGTTCTTCCTCTGGGGACACCCACCGGGGGCGGGTGGTGTCCCATAGGAAGCTGCTAGATGTGCCAGGGATGACGGAGTTGATGGTTTTTTTTTTGGGGGTGTGGCCCTGTGTGGTGTGTAGATTTGGATCCATCAAAAGATATCAAAGGTGAGTTGTGGTGACGAAGCTCATGAAGATGGGGAAGTGATGGGAAATCCAATCACTCAAGATCCCAAGGTCCCAAAGCTATGTGTCAAGCTGGTGTGACCAGTAAGAGATCACCGGCCAGTTTGCGTACCATCCGGGTCCTGCTCGCAAACAGCCCTGGGCAGTGTGGCAGGTTCAGCCGGTTTTGGACAAATGAACTCGGTCTGGACAAGCTACGGAACACACTCGAGGTCCATATCTCCAAAATGGCGATATGTGCACTATGGATGGCTTTGGTTCAAACATAGAGTGTACCTCTTTCAGGATGAGACTCATCATCCTGCAGGTTCCTTGCCCAGTCCAGAACTGATGTTCCGCCACTCGTCGGCACCAAGGCTGGGGCATGTGCCACGGGCCTCCCAACATCAACACAAGGAGGCTCGTGCATCACAACGATCGCTGAAAAAGGAATTAAAATTAAAGCAATTGCTCTCCCTGAATCTAACATGGAAGCGGTGGTTTGTACCCCACCCCCTCTCTGGTTGGTACAGGAAACATGGTCATCCAAACTCAAGCCATCCGCTTTGGCCCATGAGTTCGTTCCAGAGAGTGAGCCAAATATGTTCAAACAGTGACAGATAAAAGTAAAGCACAACATATGTTCAAAGGGACAAATAGACTGACGCTGGTGCTTGTTGAGGTGTTGTGTGGCCATCCAATGCTGTCAAAATCACTGATGACAACTCACCCTTGATATTTACTTGACAATATGTTTGCGATACATTTATAGGCTATAGGGCTCCACTTTAGGGGCACGGTTGGGAGGGGCTTAGTTCTGAAAGGTTCTTGGAACCCCCTTTGGGTTCTTAGAGGTTCTTAGTGAAAAGGGAGTTCTTAGAACCGGTTCTGGGCTAAGAGAGTTTCAATAACGTATGGTGGATTTGTTCAATGAAAATTCAAAATGAAATAATTGGTTTGGACTTGAAAAATCGATGGTTTCCTGTCCAAGGACCATTGGTAGTGTGATTGAAAGGGCATGCCCAAAGATCAATACTGATGAGCTGACAAGGCACCCTTTTTATCACTTGGAATGACAGCTGAATGACATTTTGGGTGAGAGTTGAAAGAAGATGAACCTGGAGATGCTGCATTGCCACTGGCAGATCCTGGCATATTGGGGGGGTTGTTTGGGTAAAATGAAAAGACCTCTCCAAGAGGGCTATGCCATCAACACTAGAAATCATGAATGAAGAACCCACATTCAACATGAATGATTGGATTTCTGAAGTAGGGCATGCCGGGCATGCTGATTGATTTTGAAGATTCAATAGAATACTAATACAATGATATTAAGATATATTACGCACTCTGCACCTTTTTCAATTAAATATACAGCTTATGGCATCTCTAGATAGCTGTTACATATTTACTAATACTGGGAAATGACAACAAGTGCTATTATGAGTGGCTAAAAGTTTTTTGGGGGTTCAAAGAACCTCTAAGAACCTGAGCTGGGTTCTGAGTGGTTCTTAGGGGCCCCTGGACTACGCCCTGGTTCCCCACTATATACGCCCCTAAAGTTGAGCCTAAATTTTAAGCTCTGACGTCTGTACCTCTGTTCCCTGTCAAGGCAGTCCAACAATCCACACAGCACCGAAGTTGTCTTTTTTTTCAAAACGCGCCACCTTGCCTTGAAAAGACGACCTAGGAACCTTGGCTTGAGCGCAGTTAGCGCAGTTGGCGCTTTGCGCAATGCTGGCTCGGACATGGGCTTCCCAGAAACAAACCATACGCCAGCACGTACTGCAAAGCAAGACCGCCAATGGCTCCCAACAACCACAGCGGCGAGGCATCCGCATCACTTGCACCAACCAGCAACCTCACGAGTGCTCGACAGGCAATTGCCACGCAACTACATGCACACTGACCTGTGAAATATCTCCAATGGATTCCAGGGGAAGGTCAGCTGTGAGATGCTGTGACAATGTGACACAAACTTGAACACAACTGCCTACACTGGAATCATCATGGGCCAACGTAGATGGCCCGTTTTTGGGAGACCATGCTTCCGAATACCCAAGCAGGTGGATGGCCCTCGCTCCACTGGCCCCATGGATTCTTTCAGGGAATCTCATCTCCGTTGATTCAGTGTGCTTTCACACGCTGTGAAGGATGCCACGTTCTGTGAAGGATGCCATCGTCAGAGGCCGCACGTTCCCGGTTCGGAAACACCAGCGACTGCACCGGCTCCATGCACCGTTCCCAGGTTGCTTCGACTGCACCGAACCAGCGTACGTCCCAACCAGCGTCGTCGAAACCCGGACTCGCCGCGGAATTCACAGCAAAACCAGGTCTTTGAAGTGAACATTTACACGATTGGTCCACCGGACACATTCCAATCTATCGCAAACAGAACCGAATGCGCCGTTGTTGTTTTTGTTGTAGCTACAAGGGCAACTACGGGAACGGTTGGCTAGCAGCTTTAGCACGTTCAGCTTCTTACCAGTTGAGCGCCTCTTCCAATGGTCCAAAGCAGGTTAACATTTAATACCAATCAATCAAGCCAGGAAACATGGCTGACAGGACAGCGCCAAGGCCAGCCCACAGGCTAATGACAATGGAAGAGAATAATAGCCCTGCGAAGAAACGCAAGGACGGGCTGCTGACAACTTTGGTCACCTCAGAAACATTGAAAAAACAATCAAACAAAAGGGCCAACACGGACATGGAACTCCCATGTTAGCACGTACTTGGAATTGTCGAAAGTGTTCCTTTTTTTTTCAAGTGGTCGAAAGGTCCCTTTACTTTTGCTTGGCCTTTTGGGCCTAACTAGTAAAATGCACTCGTGGATGGTTCCACGGTCAAATGAATGGCTGTTGCTTTGCTAGGATCCTGAAGAAAGTGAACCCAAGAGTAGAAGCTTGGCAAAAGCTTTCAACATTCCCCCCCATTCAGCCCCTCAGTCAGTTCAGCAGAATGTCTTCATTGGTTCAGCTGCTACTGCGAATTAAGACATAGATATATAATAACAATACTAAATATGTTTAAAATACAAGTTAATATACAAATAAATTACATATCTATATAATTTTAATGTCGTTGATATATTATATCATATACATGCACTGGCAATAATATGGCATGTCCAAAAATCTACCGTCTTACATGTTTTTTTTTCTGGATCCAATTGACATGGTTTGACAAGGGAAAGCAAAGGGTTCTCAATGGTGGCAGTCCCTCAGACCTCTGCGTCTGAATCAGGGTTCCAATGGCACAAACATCCAGCCCGTCTGTGGGTCATGGCACCGGACGAGTCTTTTTTAAGTGCAATTCTACACTCTACACGACGAGTGGTCATGGTTTCCTTATATCATATAGACGAAAATGGCATCATCCCATGAATCGAAGAGAGATAGATAAAGGGTTTTGAGACAGGAGGTCTCATGCAATCTCATGCATTGGACTCTGGACATCACTGGTATCTAGACCTAGCAGATCCTAGCAGCTTTTGTTCTGTAGGAGGTTCTGCTGTCATCGTTCACCATAGTTCTACACAGGAACACTCTGCAAAAAGAGAGTGAACTTCTTTCAACCCAGCGGGTGCTGGCAACGGCAGCGGGGAAGCATTCCCTGTCCGTGTTCTGAGTCACAGAAAACCACGTCCCCAATTCGAACCGCTTGGACCCAATTCAGCTGATGGACCAGTCGGTTGCTTCGCAGAATCAAGGGCATGATCGCGAGATTGGCCACAGGCCAAAACACAAGAGTCATGGTCCTCGGAGAAGGCTTTTTGAAGCTGGAAACAAAACTCATGGTGTTGGACTATGCCCCCTGCTGCTTGGTGGTATCTACTTGGTTTGGTTCAACAGGTTCCTCTTCCAAGTTCTTTACTTGGTTTGGATCAACATGTTCCTCTTCCAAGTTAAGGGGATCGAAGAGGGATTCGAAACAATTCAGATAATTCAGTTTCCTCCAAATCGTCTGACAAACATCAAGCGTTCATCCAGCAGTTACACCCAATTAATCCTAATTAAGACAAGTATCGCGTCAGTAGCCTGGTACCAGTTCACGGAATGGAATCCCAGGTTTTCTGCCGCAACGTGGCAATCACTGTGACCATCACAGCCGATGGTGAGAGCCAATCCTGTGGCCAAGGAGGGCAAGCATGCCACCAAGCACACCTTCAACGGGATGTGGTCTTCCCGGCCTAAAGAACTTACGATATTTTCTCGCAACGGACCGCGCACGTAAGCGTTGAACTCATCAATAATCTGCTCCTGTGAGGGGTAGCTCGTGACCGAACGAAGGCCGCTCTCTAGCGAGAACAAGCGATCCGCTTCGGCCTCCTGTGGATCCGGTTCGACAAGCTCCATCCTCTGCCCATGGAAGGGTTGCTCGGATGCTCGCAGCTGGTCTACCGAGACCGACACAGGAGGCCGCAAGGCCTCATCGAAAAAGCCCAAGACTTGCCGCCGGATCATAATTCGATCGGTTTCCAGAGTGCATGTGGCCAGTCTCAGGTCGAAAGAGGCCAGTTGATCCAGCATGGTCTTGTGGGATTCGAGCTTCAGGAAGCAAAAGTAGGTCGTGGGAATCGCACAAAAGAAGTACATGAAAGGAGGGCCATAGGCTAACCAAAAGAATTGCATGACGCGGGAGATTCTGTCCCCCTCCACTGGCTGTGATTTCACCGACAAGGTCATCAAAGCGGCAAGGACGTAGGTGACGATGCCACACAAGGAAAAGATTGGAAGCCACACCGGGACGAAATCGATAGATGCAAAGCTCGAGGTTCTGGCTCGGACAGCGATTTCATAAATGCACCACAACTTACGAAACAGGCCTTGGAATTGCTTTCAGGAAGAATAGATAACATATTTCTCAGATGCGCTGAAGGAAATGAATGTACCCATACATGAACTATATAAACTTATATACTATAGCAAAACCAGGAGGCTATCGTCCCACACAACTACCACTCGTTCTGCCTGTGACACAAAGGCTGGAATGCCTTGGATCGTCTTGGCTTTCCGCACGAGATCCACCTGGTTCACGCAAATGCGGTCAAACCACAGGGCTTTGCTGCACAGCCTTGGTTGGTGAAATTTCAAGAAATCTGAGCCTTGGGCCGTTTGGCTGCCCCGATTGATGTCATATGTACAGCACAATAAGTGTGGCAAGTGGTGACCTGTTGGAGGGTGCCGGTCTGTATATATATATATAAATAAATATATATACTTATATATATATATATATATCAATTTGCTTTCACTTATATATTACACATAAACGTGTGTATCAAACAAACTAAAGCAGTAGGTTGAGATGCAAACGCATACCCTCAAGAGTCCTTGATGCCCCTTGTTTTTCACTGCTCCAACTCTTAACACTAGGACCGCAGTAGCAGTCCTTCCGGTCTCGAGCCCCCCTGAGTGAGCCACATCCTTCATCCTTTTCACTAGTGGATTTGGTGGGATCATTCTTCAGTCTGGAAAACCTCCCTGGAACCTGGAATCATTTGATAAGTACAGTATAGACAAGTATATCAGCAAAGACATACCCTTAATCCAGGTATACCCGTATACCCACCCTAAGATGGAACTGACGATTCTCTGACGATTCTCTGACGATTCTCAAGACCTCTCTTCGGATCATCGAGACTGCTTTTCGGATCGCCCTTGTCCAACATGTGCCGTTCAGACCCCAAACACTGTCCAACAGTCCCAAACAACAACATGCTCCTGACTGAAGCCATGTGAAGCCAAACATGTGAAGCCAAACTTGCCAGCAAGGACTGCGTCTTTCAGCCACAAGAATCTTCATGAAGCACTGGAAGGATACGACAAATTCTCTGGGTTAATAGAGGGATATAGAGGGATATGATATGCTGACCCTGGATCTGCGTCAATTGTTAGGTATCAACATCACAGTCTTGCACACAGAATGTAATGACCTCATGTGCTCGTTTTTCCTGAACGCTGCTCTACAACAAGTGTGTTCGTCGATATACACACAGGGGCAACCACTGGCAATTTGGCCTTGACCTCAGCCAGAATCTCTATAATATGGACTCTAGGGGAATTACAGCTCTTCCCCTTCATGAGTGGCTTTTCGGACTCTTCCTGGTGATGATGTCGACAGCCGAGTGGCAAATACCCAAAGAAGTAGATCAAAAGAAAGATGGCCACTGGCCCGCAGACCTTGCAACGAACTCGAACCGCAGAGAGGGTCTGCCGTTTCTTGCCGTGCGCCGAGTGCTGTGGGTCGTGGTGAATTGGATCCGGTGCCCAGCGAGGTGGACGTGGTGACCCTTCGACAGGTCCAACAAAAAAGCTCTCTGAAACAATCATGGAATTGGAAAAAAATGGATGAACATGGCTCCGGAAGGGAGAATCGGAGACCATATTCCTCTACCAACAGGGGGGGTGGTCCACTTCGTTGGAGGGTAGACACCAAGAGCCAGTGTGATCTGCATGGACACCTTTGCAGTAAAACCTTTGACTCCGTTGTGAGGAACAACGAAAGATTAGCTCCTTTTGGACACCTCCCACACCTCTCACCTTCCTCTCAAAGTGTTTAACAAAGGACGGGCAAAAGCTCGGAATTGACCAGCGCCCGACCCGAATGCCCCATCAAATCTCTTTGAACTAACACGTATCTGGAGCACACATCACACATCCTGCCATGTTCTCTTTTCTTCTCCCATCCATTTTCGCTTCCATGTTTCTTCGGAAAAATGATTGAACGGTCACGGGTTTCAGCTTGGGAGGTTTGCCAAGTGCCAAGAGACCAGGGCCTCGGAGAGAGGCCCTTCGCCAGCGACTTGGAAGCCTCCGGCACGGAACACCAGTGTGAAGAAGGCCAGAAGGCTGGAGAAGCTGGCTGCAAGGACTGCCCAATCCAAGTGCAAATAGTGGCAAAGGGCCTGTAGGTCCACCGTGGGCTGTAGGTTCACGGACCGAAAATGAACAGAACAGACGTCCCCAGACATGGTGAACCTACCGGTGAGTTCCGGGTGCCATGAACCACAGGGTCTTCAGCTCATATCGGGGCCCAAGCAATGAGAGAGAGAGAGTAGGGTCGGTCGGCTCAGGCCCCAGCTCCCATCACCGAATCACGGTCCCGGTCACGTGGATGGGATGCCATCCCCAACCGGACCTTCGGATGACCAGCCATGGCATCGGAAGACGCCAAGAGGTGGTGAACTCACTGAACTCACTCACTCCACCCACCCACCATGATTGATCAGGGAGTGTATGGAAGTGTCTGACACGACTCCAACAGTGAGGGCCTCGCTAGACTCACAGTTGTGTCCAATCTCGAGAAACAACAACACAAGCTTTCTGAATCACCACGACATCGGCCACGAAGAGGGCACTGCTGGTGATGGACTTCGAAGTGCCTAGCGTGCCTGGCGTGCCTAGCCCACCATGACTTGCCTCAAAATTCCAATCACTCCACTATCATAACCCGCAAGAATCCTCAAAACAAAAAGTCTGGATCCAAATAGCCTGAAGTCAGCGCCTGGACAATCTGTCTATTATTTTCTCCACTGCAACGCAGTGTTGGGGAAACATGGTCGCGCAAGTATGATGGCCTTTCACTGCCTCTGGCCGAGCAATTCTAGCCAGCAACAACAATATATTAGTGGCTTTAGAGAGTGGGACTTCCAGCGAAAACGTTTCATCAGATCGACTGCGGTCACAGACTATGGTCACATAAGTTGGGAGACTTAAGCCAGAATCCTAACCCAAACACTCCATGGCACTAGCATATTTACATACATTGACCCCAAATCAACCACCCCAATGTATAGGTAAATATGCCAGTCCCATGGAGGATGTTTGGGTAAAGAAGCAACAAGGTCATGGGCTTTCGGTCCAATAACTTCTGCTCCAAGGTTCCAGGATCTTGATCCACGAAGGGCATGACCAAGAGTGACAAATGAAAACATCGACATTCTTGACGGTCGGCAACTGATTGAACTCAGACTCAGATGTGCTAAAACTCTCCTTGGTGATTTCAAGGCGAGGACTCTGCCAGGCTGTCAGGTGTATCATGAGTCAAGAAGACAGACTAAAAAGTTCATACCAAAGAAAACGAGTTCTAGTAAGAAAGCTGAACTTGCAGACCATATATATATATACAGTAAATACCTTTAAAATCTTTTACAGTAATATGTTTACTTAGCTGGGAGGTCGTGTATTAGGACTTTGTTTAGATACCTCTAACCAAATGGCATGATGATTAAAGGACCTAATGAGAGCCAGCAGCAGAATGCTGTTGGGTTTCAACTTCTGGAGGGGGGGCATGGTGCACAGTTTGTCCATGGCCAAAGCCAGAAATTAACCTTGTGGTCTGGAACTCTGGGGCTGTCAGTGTGCTGTCTAGGGCCTAGGGTTCCGTGCAACCTTGGTCAAGAAGGGTGCTGCAAGCCAAACACGCCTGCATTTTTAGCCGGGTGCCAACTTAGGCCCGAAAATAATTTCAATGGATTGAGTTGCTAAAAGACTAGGACATGAACAGCCAAAGAAGTGCAAGAAGAGGGCATACATACATTGGACTACTAAGCTGCAAACTTCTTTCACACACAACTTTGTCCTCACACATGTTACGGTTGCAAAGATCGGGCCAACCGGCCAACACATCATGTGTGTTGACCAACCATGGAGGAAAAGCTCATCGAGGCATCCCAATAGCCAAACTTCAAGCCAGTAGATCATTCCCAATAGCCCTTTGAGGGATTCACTGATTCCAAGAGCCCTTTGAGGGAATCATGTCAATTGATGCAGGAGCCTCGGGAGCTGTTTATCTAGGAACCTCAGGCGCGGCCATTGAAGGTTTGTTGCGGTCTCCCGATCGAGCACAACTGAACAAGCAAAGGGAGAATGCCTGACCCGCTCGCAATGCAAAAGAACCTCTACTTCCTCTTAAAAGGATCTCTATAATCATCCAGAGTGGCGGATTAGGGCGGATTGATTCCAGTAGTGGTGGGTCAACTGCAAAAGTTTGTAACTATAGAGCAATACAGTACAGTAGTACAGCAACGCACATCATAGGAAAAGCTTTCAATCTGGCGCTGGTGTCAGGCCAAAGAAGATTCCATATCACCTGAAATGCCGTAGCCTTTTGGCACAGTCGGTGCTCCTGCACAAGGTCAGCTTGCTCCCGAAGCGTTTCCATGCGGGAGCTCCGCGGTGGACAAAGGTGTGAGATCCGGCCAACTGGGGAGGCCGCGATCAGGAATTCAATCGCATGCTGCACCCAGGCAAAGTGCCAGGTGCCAGGTCTGCACCACAGGCACCAACAAAGTGAGAATTCATGATGAGAAGATGAAACCTAGGTTCCTTTTTTTGGTGATCTCAGGTCAGGTGGTAAGATCTCAGGTCAGGGAGCATCAGGGAGCGTGCTCTTGCTTCTTTCAAACAGTTGTCCCCACTGATCAGGGCGCCTGAGCCATATAGCCATATTGCAGGAGATTCTGGGCACAAATCACCATGTCTCAAGGCTGCCTTATTTAGCAAAACCTGTGTACTACTGTAATAACTAGATTTATATCACAGCAACCCAGGGATGTTCATGAAGCCAGAAACAGATCTAGCAAGGACTGCCTGGAACACTTCTATTGCAACACGTCCCTCACACGACCGACCTCCATATCCAAAGGCAGGATAGAACCTGCACCAGCGGTCCCGACTGCTTCTGGCGTCAAGGCAAAGAGCAAGGTCACTTGCGAGATTGTTCTGATGACTGAAGCATCTCATTTTCAGACGGCTAAGATATACCATGATATACCTAAGAGAAGGACATGCCAAAAGAAAAAACACATCTCGTCACGGAATCACGGGAGCCAGCAGAATACTACCCAGCAGAAATCTCGGGAGAGCCCAGCGCAGCTGGTTCCAGAAAATTCGATTACACTCTGACGAACACATCACATGGAAGTGGATGGCATGGTCCCGAAAGGAAGACTACTTTCCTTTAGAAACAGTGGGTGTTCCACTTCCATGTGATGTGTTTGTCGGAGTGTATCTCTGGTTCCTGAGATCCTCGCCTCGCATGTCCTCAGTTCCTCCATTGCTTAGATAGACTGTGATCCGCAGGACATCTGGGACTCTTCCAAGGTGTTCGTTTCGGCTTTTCGTTTTCAGTGCTCTTTTCCCATGATCTGAAAACGTGCGCGAGGAAAATGGCCACCCTGAGTTTTCGTGAGTTGCATACATCTTCAAGGAAAATTCTGGGTTCCCCCTTTTGAGATTTTTGAGGCTTTCCCCTGCTCCCTCCGCAAGTCAATTTTGAGGCTTTCCCCTGCTGTTGATGAGGTCACAAATATCTGGGACATTCGGAGAACGCTCTCCATCATGTCGGGCGGTGTGAAAAAGGTAGTTGATGGTGCATCGGGCGCCGTGCCGTTGGAAGCAACACGTTGCTCGGCAACAGCCAGGGAGAGGCCGTGAGGGGATAGTGGATGAAGCAATCAAAAATTGGTACACGTGCTAAACATCCCAGGAGATCCCAAGTACGCTCCTTTTTCAACACGAAAATGGTGACATGGATGGCATGGTCCCCATGAAATCCTCATAGCAAACCAACTCAGGTGGTCTTGAAAGCCACCACTAAACTCATCGATTCTTTCATGGAGTGTACATGGATCCCCCCCCAACCCTCTGATCATCACCATCGCTCAGATCACCCGAGCGATGGCGCGTGGCGTCAGCTGGGGCTCCCCGGCGCGGACGAGTCGTCGCCTGCAGCGATTCGACGCGGTTCGGATGACCGGCGCGCTTGCGCCCAGGGGTGAGCCCTGCGGAAGTGTCTGGGTAACTGAAAACGATCGGCTCAACGGCTCCAAGTAAGGAGCAAACTCAAGCGTTTTTGGGAATTACACCCCAAACTTTTGGGCTGGGAGTCCATGTCAAAGGGTGAGGTCCTACACCACGGCCAACGGAAGGTGGACCACGGTCCCGAGCCAAGAAGGACGTGTTTTGTTTTATTGTTATTAGATTCTGCCAGGTGATCTCAGGTCTGAAGTGTCACATGTATTCACATGTCGACCATATGTGGATGAAGCATGGGAAGTGAGACTTTTGTCCAGAAGTGAGGGATAGCCGGAAAAACATGGAAAACACATGGAAAAAAAAAACATGTGATCTGCACCTGGAAACGGACCCAAGATCTGGCTGTGGGACCGACCAAATCAGGATGGTCAGGAGACTATGAACCAGTGCCACCATCATGCGGCATGTCACATGTCGCTTCAATGCCACCATACAAGTAGGATACCACAGGGATCTTCAAATACCTCAGCGCATCCTTCAACTACCATTGCAGCTTCAGCACTCAGTACTGTGCTATACAAGTCAGAGCTGTGGGGGAGGACAACCAACTTCTTGCACACGAAAAAACGTAGTCTACAGAATCCAATTCCCTGCCCGGGCCGACCCAGTCCCAATGCCTCGGATGCCTTGGATGCCGGAAGCATATCTCAAGGAACCCAGGCAGACGAACCAACCGTTTGGGCTCGGCCGTTTGGACCGGACTCCCAACGAGCTCTCGTAACAAACTGCCTGGATGTTCTGAGGCAGTCCTTACCCACCAAGAGGACCAGGTCGCCTCACCCTCGCGGCCCTCGCCTCCTCTCCGTCGATCCTTGGTCTTCTTCTCCCGCCTGGCCGGGAATTAGGTGCTTGTTGCGGTCAATGTGCCACGCCACGTGACCCAGAGCCACGCGGTGTGGAGGTCGCTCTTCAGATTGAAGTCGATGAAATAAACAAAACATCAAAACATCGGTATTTTGATGTATTTTGGAGATCCATGTTGCGACCAACATATATATCATATGTATCCAGCATATTGTCTTGTGAGAGCGCTTTTGATAGATAAACCATGAAGCATGCACGACCGCCTGTGGGCTTAGGAACACCACGCAAAAGCGACGCTAGGAGTGTTGGGCAATTCCGGAGATGTTCCATACAGTATGTTCCATCACAAGTTGCAGGTTAGTATGTAGCAAGCTGAGCCGATCGTCGACCCATGTTGTTCACAAGAACAAGATCAACCAAGTGAGGCGTATGATCACACGCCCACGAAGTTAAACAGCACTGCCACCTATTTGAGACACCAAACTGATTCGGAGCGTGGACGACTCCAACTTCATTTGTAGAGGCAGCTGTGATGTCAGGCAGCTCCGAGCCCGGGGCTCCACACCGAACGAGAGGCTTCTGTTTTTTCTGAAACGTTCGAACTAAAACTCCCCAGATCACCGGAAGTCAACTCTGCCTCTTCTTGTGCCGGCGACTCCTCGATCGGTGACTCCGACCGTCTCGTCCGGATGGTCGTCGGACTCACGTCTGATGAAAGACCCACGTCTCACGTGGTTGGGAAGGAATCGAGGGACGGTCCCATTGGGCAACAACCTGCCGGCTCAAAAAGAACGAAAGCCCCATGTCTTCCATACCGAATACCACGGTTGCCCATTCCTCGTTTCAGGCAAACCCCAATTTGACACTCATGCGTCACGCTTTCGAGATCCCCACATCGCCCTACACAGCAAAGACGCTACCAGCTGTTGACCCGCTTGGCTCTCCGTCCAACGGAGTCGAGTTCCGAGAAATAAGACCCAGAAAAAGCCATATCCAAAGGAGTCACATGGCACATGGTGAGCCATATCTTCTAAAGGACTTACATGGCACATGGTGTATCTTCAAAAGGAGTCACATGGCACATGGTGATTTTTGGGTTTCAGAAGATTGTGTTGTGGGTGTCCGCTGTGCGGTGTTTTGAGAAACTTTCTACCTGATTATTGTCATCTCTCCATCCCGGATTCGTGAGCGACACACTCTCCTGCTCCTGGAGGCTCCCTGAGGTGACTGACCGAGAAATTCGTTGTGGTTGTGATGATGAACGCGACATATTTAGCGATACAATTTGCTTGTTGTACAAGTAGCCCAGAAAGCTTAGTAGTCCAGTCTATAGGATTGCAGAGTCAATCAACAACTTGCCCTCCCAAAACCTGCCCTTCGAGTCAATAGTAGTACATCGCAATATCACAGTATAGACTATATATCAGATATAGTCCTGATTGGCGAAGCCTGGGAATGCACTTTTTTTGCACTAACTGTTTGGCCAGCTTGATCCAGCTCCAGGGAATGCTTTGCGGCTTTGGCTTTGTCTATTTCTGCAAGCTCCCTTGAAGAGCAAGACTATACAGAAAATCTTCGAGAAATCGCTAATATGATGGAATTGGACGGAACTATGACTTAAACACGTATGCGTCAGTACAACAGATGAAATGCCCCTACACAGCTCTTGATGCTTGGTGTCACCACGACCATTCTGAAAGGCTCAGGCCCACACCGATTGCATGCTGCTTTGGGACCTCTACGCCAAACGGCTCGCTCAGTGCGCCACGGGTGGATGGATGGATGAGTAGTTGATTCACCCCTGCTGTGATAAATGTCCACTGATGAGAAGAGTTTATATTATATCAACGTATTGATAGAATCATCTAGTAAACCATATCAGCAAATAGATGCTCGATACTGTCTATCTACCAATCCTCAGGATTGACACTCCACAAACTCCGCCAAACTGATGTCACCTGTGTTGCACCCTCTTGCAGTCGTTCCTGCTGAAACACGTCCGTGGTCCATGCCATACCTATGCTTCTTCACCTTGAGGCCCGAGGAATAGATCGATGACATGATCCATGACACTGTCGAAAAACTGATTCCTCAGCCCCAAGGACACGACGAAAAAACATCTATGCGGCATATGAGAAGCCATGTGAAATCAATCCACGGATCTTCTCCACTGACTTCCTCTGTTTGGCTGGAAAATAGAGGTTTACATAGGTTTACCTCTTTGCACCTGTTCTATCCTTCCTGACACCCCCCCCCAAAAGGTTGTCTAGTTGTCTGACTGGCTACTCTCGGGCACCTGATCGCCACCGCCACCGATGCCAGACCTGGCCTGCTGATCCCGCTCCCCGCCGGGCTTGAACCCAATGTCCGCGGAGTTCGTCCGGCCCAGTTCCGGCCACGATGAGGAGCGACGCTCTTCCGACGCGGCACGCGAAGGCAATCAGGGCTCGAAACCGCGCGCGGCTTCCGCAGCGCGCCAGCGCCAGAAATGGGTTCGATCATCTATCATAATCTTTTTGTACCCAGACACTCCATGGGACCGGCATATTTACATACGTTGACCCCAAATCAATCAACCACCCCAATGTATACGTAAATATATGCCTTACATGGAGTGTTTGGGATAGTTGATCTTGAGGAATTCCAGGAACTTCAGCTCTTAAACCAAGCCAAACACACAAATCCTTTGTGAAGGTCGCTTCATCGTCAATCACAGCACATATTGAAGAATTACGATCGCTGATTAAACTGCTTTGGGCTAAGGACAATCCACAGGAATGAAGGTGCTACCCCCAAGCCCAAGAGCATGGTTGTCCTTTAAAGCTTCACGACCACCAATTAGAACTATAGCACTTCTTATTCAAGGCCTAAAACACTAAAATCAACAAGTGCGAAGCACGATGGATGGCGCACACGTGCTCCATGCCACGTAGCACCAAGACGTGATAGAAGGCGATGACTCCTGCACTGAGCCCAGGCGATGACTCCTGTTGGTAGACTCGGAAAGCTATATCAATATTGAAAAGTAATAAGTAATATTATGAGTTGCAAATTGTCGGATATTGCCGGCTATCAGGTAGATATGGTGCACCTTGAGGACTTTAGGCTGTCACTTCCCGTTGAGCTGTCGCTTCGTATGGAGTTGTGAACTCTTCCAAGAAAGATGTTCAAAATTCAATCTCACACCTCCGTTTCAAGTCCTATAAGGCCGATCTGGCCTCCAAAATCCACAGCACCTCCGCAAATGTACAAAAAAACATCAAAATACAAATGTGGATTCGGGGATCCTCCTGGGGGCGTCTCCTCCTTCAGAAACAAACCCATCTCAGCCAATAGACCAATGACCAGACTCATTGAGCACCCCGACCTCTCGTCCGCGTCTGCCCCCATTTACTGTAATACTATCTAGTTACCCATGGCCAGGGGCGATGATAGGGATGACCAGGAGGTCTCCCTAGTGTTTCTTTCTACCCACCGCACATGGCAGCTCCATCGCCTCGATCTTCCTCCTCCAGCTCCAGGGATGATGCAAACTCGTTCGAGCCGAACGTGAGAGAAATCGCCGAACGAGTCGAGAAGTGAGTCAAAAAAAAGGGAAAGAGGTGTTCGCTTGTCTCGCTTGAGTTCGCTTTTCGCTTCATCCGGTCGTATTTTTGGTTCCTCCGGTCCGGAGATGTGTTCAGATGTTGGTGTTGTGTTGGTGTTCAGGACGGGTCACCTGGACCAAAGGACCGCCAAGTGAATGACCGCTTTCTGAATAAAAGAATCCAAGTGAATGACCCGAATACAATCGAATACAATATACAACTGGCGGTTCTCGAATTCGCGATGTAATGCAACACTGGTCGGTCAGAGGTCCTAGTCGGGTGCTACCAAGTGTTTGTTGAACATCGAGCAGCATCGAGGTTCCGGCTGCGACTCGGACTGGGACGTCCCGACTGGAAGCTTCAGGAAGGGCTTGGGCGGCCAAAGGTGATAAGTGACCTGGCGGACGAAGCCACAGGTTAGGAGAGACAGGGTTCTTCTTGTCAACAGAAAAGTACCTAGCACTTCCAATGGGTGCCCAATGCAGACCTCTAGGTAGGGTAGGGTTGTCCATTGGTGACCCATTGGAAGCACCTGGTACATGAAAGATACAACGCTTCATATAGGGCCACACAATCATACATCATCTATCCTACAGAGTGTGCATTGTTTTCGGGGGTTGCATCGATCCTTTGTTTATAAGGCCGGAGGATCTCTCAGCAATGGTTCTTTTGCTGTGAAATTGCTTGGGTGACTTTCTAATTTGTTTTGTTCTGTCTGCAACAGGAGCCTGGTGGGATCCAAGGGAATCTAATCTACTGCTATCTATTGTCCATTTGTGGCTTTAAAACCATATGACCCAACCTCATGTGGCCTCCGGGACATCTTGCGCTTCTACTGACTCCCTCAGAAACTTCCTGCAAATGCAAGATTCCCCTCCTTTCTTCTCCTCTTGGATTTTGGTGGGGTGTCCCCAATCCAGTGGTTAAAGGCTATCCCTCTGACTGGCTCGGAAGAGAGTGAAATTCACACCCCCTTCTGTACAAAAACATCCACGGGGTGTTTGAAGGGCGTCTTGTTCGCTGGAGCATCCGTGGCAACAACATATGTTTCTGGACAGTGTCAGCCATAAATAACACCCAGACATATATCCGTGGCATCGAAGGAGGGATGATGATGGATGCCTCAACCTGTGCTTAAGGCTGCTGCGCCTTTTGAGGACACTTGTTCTGCATGCAGCATATATTGGATTGGCTGTCCAGGAACCGGGACAAAAAGAAACACATCTGACCCAGGGACATCATCGATTCCGCAATACCAGGACATGGTGTCTGTTTCTTCCTCACTCATATTGTTTGTTGGTCATCGAGTTCCACACTGACTTTTCAAGCCACTGGGAGACACCTGCGGCCCCTGGAGTTCGGCCTCCTTGGTGTCCTTCATGCCTTCCTCACCACCCCTCTCTGCCATGTCCGGCGAGATCTCCTTGGTGCGTGGATCCGGAAATCTGCAGGGGGGGCTGCCCAAACCTGGAGCAGGTTTGGAATCACCAGCGGTCCACGGGTGGAAACTAGGTGTGGCAAATGGATGCAAATGGTTCCAGTCGTCGTTGGTTTGTCTATGATCTTGATTTACTGCTGCGTTTGGCCATGGGTCCATGAGTGTTGCTTCTTCTGTTTCAGTGATTGGTGTTCCATCAGATTGTTGTTCGGCTGCAGATACATTCTTCGGAGCTGAAATCCTGACCTTCACTCACTTCACTAGGTACAAACCTACTTCAAGGATCATCACTGACGTCGACGTTGGCCGGTTTCGCAAAGCAAGTTCCAGCCACTCCCGACTCCCGACCCGAATCGCGCGTGCAAAGTGGCTGGATGATAGGCTGACAGAACTCCCTGTGACCTAAGCAAAGGTCGAATGGAGAAACCTAATTGGTCGACCAAAAACACCCTCCTTTGAGGATGCACTTCATGGGCACTTTGAGGTTTGCAGGTTTGCATCATGCGGCTTTGGGGATATTTTGGGAAGCAAAATAGTGTTTCAACTATATCCAACTCCTCAAAAGGGGATTCATTCCAGCAACACCAAGACTTCTCTGAAGTGGTACAAGTAGGAATGAGTAGCAAAGGGCGCTACTAGGTGGAGGCCATCGCTATTAGGTCGGAGGCCATCGCTATTAGGTTGGAGGCCGTTGCTATTAGGTCGGAGGCGATCGCTACTACGAGTACTAACAATAAAGCTTTCTAGAAACTTTTAGAATCCATAGATCACACTGTCGGGGGGGCACTGCGCGGCGTGGCCAAGCAAATCTGAGATGCTCATCTAGATCAAAGCCATCCCAATTCCAATGTTCACCCATTCTGACAAATATCAAGAGGTGCATTGTGGTATGATATGATAGTCACTCGGCACAGGTTGGGTGATAATCACACTTCCAGCGGTTGGATCCCACTGAGTTGGGCTCAGTTTCCCTCAATCCGACTTTTTTAGTTTCCCTCCAGAAAGATGTTTTTTTGTTTTTTTTTAAATGTGCCTTCCCCCCTGTTGATGTTCAGTAGGGTGTCCCCTTTTTGCCCAACAAAAGGATATATAAAGCTTAACGGTTACAGGGAGTTCCAGAGTAGATGGCACACACCCAAAGATGTCTTAGACAGACCGGGGGTCCATATAAACCACCCAACTTGGGGATTGTGCCATTGGTCCTCTGAAACCATGGTTATTCACAACCATCCGGGGTCGGTCGTTGAATGACTGTGGGATGTCCAAACATCCAACGTAACTCCCCCTGTGGGGTGTGCGACGGCGCGTTACGGCGCACGCGGCACGTGTAATCCAGACCTGTGGCCGAGAAGTGTGGGCGAAGGCGTGTGAGGTCTCTGGGGATGTGAAGCCCTCCATGCACATCCCTGAATGTCTAGGGTGTGTAGGGTGAGTATGTATAGCCCTCCCTGAAGGGCCCTTCATCCACAGAAGCCCTCCTGGGCTCCCAACACGAAGAACTCCGCCACATCACCTCCATCTGCCAGCATGCCCATGTAAAGCGCCTCCACCGGTGGAGCCCGCCGCGTTCGAACCCGCGAAGTGCGGTCGGCCCTGGTCAAGCCCGGTACTTCTTTCGAGTTCCGAGCATGACACGCGTTCACATGGTCCAGGTCCGTTTTGACCTGTGTCCACCTGTTTCGTACTTGTTTCGTGGGGGGGGTCGCCAATCCTCCCCCAAAAGCTTTCGTGAGGTGTCGCCAATCGACACAGACGTTCTCAGACATATTCATCTTCATCCACGTCGAATAGCCAAACGATGTGGATCTCACTGACCTGCCGAAAACGTAGCATTCCAGCCGCTGCTTTTGGGCAGGGGGCTGGGTGGGGAAGTGTCCGGGCCTGTTGAAGCCGTTGTTGTTCTTCTCCCACCGATTGCAACAAAGCACTGGGCGGCGGAACGCGACCCCACGAAGCAGTTGCACGGAAGATGACCGAATCGCCTGGTTGCGTGTCTGCCAATTGTTTCGGTGTGTGCGAATGTGTGGTTTGTTCCAGATTCCCACGATAGGTGTGTACTAAGTGTACTGTGAAGCAAAACAACCTTTCTGGATGAGAAGCGTGTGCGCTATCCTCTCCATGACAAATGAGAACAAACCCCATTACATTACAAAGTTCCAAAGTAAGATGCAACTGCAGGAGCTGCAGAGTTCCATGTTAAAGTCCGGGTCATTAAGGTGGCCCACCACAAACGTGTAAGGCTCACCACAAGCTGCATCCCACCGACCACAAGCTGGAACTTGGATGGATGAAGTGCCTACCAAGTACATGGAAAACATGGAAAAACGGAGGCTCCACCATACTCCTCCCGTTTTAGATGGTGTGTATGCATCTCACTTCTGCAAAGCTTCCAAGTACGTGAACATCGGCCGCGGAGGGAATGACACGGCGGAGCGACGAAGCGAAATCGCTCTGGTTCGTCCCTCTAAGACTCCAGGACCCACAGGTTTGTTGTAGTCGATGTCTAGGTTGCATGTACCACGATAATCAGCTTTGGGGGACCCCGGTGATTGAGCCAGGTGAGAGCCGTGTCTGTCGACGACAAGTTCAGGGATTTGGCTCCTGTACAGCTGATCAATAGGTCATTGCTGAAATCAGTTCGTGAACTGCAAACATGAACTCCTGGCCACCACCACTCTTCAGCTGCTGGCTGTTGCCCAACGTAGGCGCCCTTCAACAAAATCTGGCGAGCAGGAGCAGGCCACGAACAGTTCACGGCGAATAACATAGTGCACCTCAAACACCGCAAACCGAGTGGTACATGATCAAAGGTTGAAGAAACATATGAACGGGATATTATGTCTTACAAGCTTCTCGCAGTAGCCCCTATACGACTACTACCTGCGACAGCCCATCTCAAGTTGAACTCTTCCATGACTATAACTTCTACTCCTGTCAAATCAGAAACCCAATACCAGGACCTTCTTTCGGGGTGTCCTGGCTGGAGATCCCGGATAGCAGTGGGCTGGGGCGAAACCATGACCCTGCAAATGAAGGTGCTGGTATGTTCACTTGACCGAGAAGGACCTGCGACATCGACTGGACCAGTCCACCCGACTCCCGCGACTCGCGACTCGCCCGGCTTCCCCATCGCTCGTTCGAACGGTTTTGTGGACCGTCGCCGGTCCAGTTGGACCGATGGCTGCGGATGGGGGAGTTGAGGGAGTTGGAAACGCAGAGCTGAAAGAAACGATCTCTTTTGAACGTTCAGTAAGTAATGGACCATCCACTGGAGATGATCATCCACCTTCACTGAAGGACCATCCACTGTTGTTCTTCTGAACGTGGATGGAACGTGGATGGAAACGTCATGATCCGCAAGACGTGACGTCCCATCCATCCATCCATCCATCCATCCATCCAAAGACGTGACGTCTGATAAGACTAGTGGGAAATGGGATGAATGATTCTTCCCTAGAGCGCCTGTCCCATATCCTCAGAAGGTGGTTAGACCCCCCAAGCCCACCCCAAATTGGATGCACTCACTTGCGGGCAACATACATGAATGATTCTTCCCGTTTGGGCGACTTCACCATCTCTTCAGGAAACGGAGGTGGTTGGGCCCTAGGGCTTATGGATGATCTGCAAAGGTCTGATAATATATGGATAGAGGTCTATTGACTCGGACGACCTGGGATGAAACGTGTGAGGTACATTCCTTTGAGGGAGGTTTGAGTTGGTGCTTCCTTAAATATACTGTAGGTTGAAGCTTGTATGAGGAGTAACTTGCTTCTCATATACACATGGTTCATGGAGTTTGATGTGCTTTGCCATCACAAGGTGGATCAGGTTGCACCAACATATTACAGTGCGAGGCCTTTAATGCAGTCTTTAAACAAATACACTCACTAACATGGAAGTGGATGGGGTCCCGAAAGGCGAAAGGAAGACAATGGTCCTTTACAAAGAAAGGGTTTTTTCACTTCTACAGGTCATATGAGTCAGAGATAGTCAGAGTGTAATTACTTGTTTTAAGTCATATCAACTGGTAGACGTTTCCTTCGACATCAGTCAGAGTGAAATGAACACAAACACCATAGATGTCTGTTCGGGACAACCCCCACATAGAACCTTCTGTCTTGGGACGATCACCGTGCTAAGCTCAGCTCGGTCACCAACCCTTTCGCTGCCCCGTTCAGTGAAACACCGGGTGACGACCGGTGACCGGTGACGAAGCGTCAGGTTCCACGAAGGCCTGGCAAGGAGAAGAGGACCGGTGGAAAACAAAAGCATGAGTGACATGAGTGTAGAAGGCCACCCAAGAACGACTGTCCGTTCTTTGGACTGCTTGAAGGGCTTGGGTAAACAAAATCCTTTGACTGTTTGATACTGTTCATGGCCTGCCAGGCATATGTCCAGATCCTGCCAAACGACGTCACCAACAGACAGTCTTAGCGATATGCGTTGCTGCTTTGGGGCCAAAAGAGCGTCGAGGATTTCTGCCGTTTTTTCTCTAGTACGCAACAGTCGTGCACACGTCAACAAGGATGGGTTTTGTATCAAAAACCATGACAAACCCGGACAAACCCAATAGAAAATCCAACCATCAAACACCCAAAGTACACTGGGACCAGCCTTTCCATCCTGTACATCTGCTATTCACATCTTCACCCCCAAGCACATGTAGGATGTTTCATCAGTCCGGTCCATGATGATCTCAGTGAACTCAGAGTTTTGGCCAACATCTCACACCCCTCCCAGACTGATGGTGCTTGGTAGAGAAATGAGGGAATGACTGACCCCCCCACTGATGTATACCTTGGTCCATCCAGCCATTCCCTCATTCCCTGCACTCGTCGCACCAGTCAGTTATATGGGACGACGGAAGTCCTCATGGTACCCGTTTGACGAACGTGCTTGAGGGGTGTCCTGAGCCTGAGCGGTGTCCTCATCATCCTCATATGTGGTGTCCTAGGGGTCCATTGTTTTGAGTGTCTAATGGTTGCAGGGGCGCCAAACTCACCACAAGGTGTTCCTTGAGTGCTCCTACTCCTGAAGGCAGCATGAACATATGCTACTCCAAATGAAATGTACCGGATACAGTATCTCTAGGATGTTGCACATCTTAGATGAAGTTGTTTTCTTTCTTGGTTCATGGCGCCAACGGTAGTACCAAGAGCACGTTGGATGATTCTTCAATTCAGACTCACCCACGAGTCACAAGACCCACCCATGAGTCACCAAGGAGTATTCTCTCTCTAAAAAGAGCGCGGGCGCAAGTGAGCGCGCAGCTCATGTGCCCACCTTGGTCTGGTGCCGGTGGCGGAGGCGCATTCGACCTTGGAAAGCAAAGGAAGGACCGCAAGTCTTGGGCAACTGGTGGACACCAATGTCTGCCAATTTCTGCAAAGGTCTGACTCTGCATCCGCTGGTAGGGAGAGAATCTGTGTCTCTCATATCCATCATGATGGTTGATTCATAGGCTATAGATCCTAAGCCTATAGGAGGTGAAAACGATTTCTTTCTTAGATCAGCCTGTTCTGGATTCGCTATAGATCCTTCGCATCATCACCGGTGGATTCGGCTGGCGCAAGCCGTGATGGTCAAACTTTCTTGGTGACTTCTTTCTCCGTTGGCTGGGTCGCCACCGCAATCACAGCCTTAAGGCTCTTTTTCGGGGTCTCCAGACACGGATCTGTGCGTTCTCAGCCACTGGGTCTACTTGGACCACCTGCCTTCACCGAGTCTGCCGAGTCCGCCCAAGTGGCTGAAGGATGCTCGGCGCTTTGACCGTGCTCAGGGGCCTCGACCGACGGACTCACCGAGGGGGCTCGGATGCTAGGAAGATCCAATAGGGGGGAGGACACAGAAGATGTGTTTTGCATGGGTTTTGCCCTTCTAAAAGGAGCTCCAGTCTTTCAGAACTGTTCTTTTCAGTCTTTCAGTCATAGTGTAGTCTTTTCAGCCAGCAAAACAGTCTCAGTGGATATTTGGGGGGGGGAGCTGGCCTTCACCTTTTTAGATCCTCTTCTTTTGTATCGAATAAGGACCCGTTCTTTACAAACAGCTTGGGATTTGTGAGTTGGAACATCTACATCATATTTTAAAGTTGCTTAGGTTGGACCACCAACATGTTTTTAAAATCTGTAAACGAAGCCACCTGGTGAACGAAGATCGAAGAAATCGCCAGCACGGTGGACTGAGGTCGCTCATGGCGAGCTCGAACCTTCGGACCGGTGGGGCTCCGCACGGCGGAGGTGGCAGGTTGGTCAAGGCCAACACCTCAGACGGTTGGGGGGGGGTGGAGGGTACGGTTGGGGTTGGAAGGGGATGGAGCTCTGTAGCGATTTGGGATGCGACTTGGGAGTTGAGGCAATAACTATGGAGGCTTAACGAAGGCATACATACATCTGATGAGCGCAACCCCCCCAAAATGTTGCTGAGGTTAAACGATGTTTGGGATTTAGATGGATTTAGGGATTCTTCGGGTATATATGTTTATAGTTCCCTAGGGCTCCTGTCCCAAATCCTCAGAAGGTGGTTAGATCCCCCCCAAACCCCTGAGGCCATCTTATCAGGAGGTAGTTGGAGCCCTCGTGGTCCATCATGGGGGGTTCACTGTTCATTGATCTCGGTTTTGGGTCCAGCTGCCGAGAATTCCTTGCTTTGGGAGGCCTGCTACGACGATGCCATCTCTTCGGAGAGCTGCAAGGCCATGGGATGGTGGTCGGGGTCGGTGGCCAAAGGGTTTAGATGATAGCGGCCCACAGCAAAGCCAGAGATCTAGGGATTCATCTGAGGGAACAAACTGGGGACGATCCTCCCAAAGGGATTGGCCTTCTTGGAGGAATCCTGAAGATCAGTGTACGTAGTTTGGCATTAGCTTGACTGCTGTCCGCGATCAAAGCCAGCTGAAGCAGTTGATTGAAACCAGCTCCATACAAGTAAGTTTCCGAGTATTGTTTTGACTAAACCTTGCAATTTCTCAAAACTCCCCAAGCTGGTGATGCGAGCTCCAGCTTCCAAGCTCCAATCAAAGGATCGGTTCAAGACGCACCATGGGCCAATGGGGATCCATTCCGCATCGCTTTCTAACCATCATCTTCCCGTCCGACCTTGGAAATCATAGAGGCCAGGGTACCATAGACCAATCCTTGGGCAGAAAAAAACACCACAGGGGATAACATGCAGGGGGTATTTACTCTGTTACAGTGGTTTCAGAGTAGATGGCACCAATCCCACTCGCAATCCCAATTTCACCACCTGGGGTAACTTGTTCAATCTACTCTCCTCCACCAAGGGCGTCATCGATGCTCCCCGCCCTCATCTTCCCTCTGCTCCCCCACGGGCAGGCGTGCACCCTCCAATGCTAGCGCCACATCACCCGTAAGCTGCCTGGCGGCTTTTGAGATGGCGCATAGCGAAACTAGACCCAACAAGTGTACAAGTCTTTCCCTGTTCTTTTAATGATAGGTATAGGATATAAGGGACGTCAAAAAAGAAACAACAACAACAACAACAACAGATTTCCAAAAGCAATGGCACGAACTCTGCCCCAACTCTTCCCTGACCTTGGCTCAGGCGGCGGGGGCGGCAAGGCCGCGTTGCTGGCGCTGGCATCTGCCAGCATGGGCTGGTTGCTGGGCTCGGCCCGGTCGGCCTAGGGCAGGGGGTGCCTAACCAACACCCACAATTAAAGGGTGGCTAGGTCTATAGGCTTGTCTTGGGCACCGATCAGGGCTGTAAAAAGGTTGTGTACCTCCAAGACACATGCTATGCTTTGCCCTGAGCCTACTTCAGCCGCTGCGCTCCTTTTGGGGTTGGTGCCACAGCAGCGTCGCAAGGCAGGCGTTCTTCTGCC